TAAAAATTTAATATATAATAAATGTGATATTAGTTTATTTAGATTTTAAGTTTCAAACGATTTTAATAAATATTAATCGAGTAAATAAATTTTTATTTACTGCCAGTTTTTTCCGCCGCCACTACTGTACTTACTAAATACTTTTGAAATTTATGTCTGTCTGTGATTAAGAATAAATCGAGTATTTTTACTGATGAATAAGAGGATTATTGAATATTTATAAGTTTATTGTTCCTGAACTAAATATTTCAAATTCAATGCTACAAAAATCTTTCACTTTACATTCATTCTTCTTTACACAAAGTTTTATTATAATTTATAAAATAGTAAAAAAAGTATAAACGAAAAGTTTTAGCTTAAATATTGCGAGAACTTTTATGAAATTGAAAATCCCGAATTCATATAGCATTTTGCATTTAGAAAGGTAGGGTTCTGAATCGAAAGTCGGAAAATCGCCAAAGTCAAAAGTCGATTGTAATAACGATTTTGAATCTCAAACTCGGCAAAATGATCGTTTAATGATATCGACTTTAAATTTAGTCCGATTAAACGGCAAAAATCTGTTACACAAAATCAATAGATATCTTTTGAGTATAGGGAAAACCGGTACGATACGGTTCGGCTGATCAGTACGGTACAATCATAATTTTAGATGATTGTATCATACCGTACCAGTTCTATAATATTTATTATAATACCAGTACGATACGCGATTTTGCAGATCAGAACAATGATCGTCAAAGCGTACTGTACTGGAATCCTACTATAAAAAATAACTTTAATAATAAAAATAAAATTGGAAATCTAATCAAGTGATCGACAACCAATCGATAAATTCTAAAAAAAAAAATTTTTAAATTTTAATCATATCGCAAATAAAACTTTTTTACTAATATCGCAAATGTCTGAATATGCGTCTAATTCTAATTCTGATTTTGAAGAATTTTTTGATTCGACAGTATGTATATATCAATTTTGTCAATTAAAATAAAAATAAAATATTAAAATAAAAAAAATTTTTTTTTAAATAAAACGCGAATCGCGTTATGTATATATTATATAATATAAATAATAATTTATAAATTTAATTTATCATTTTTTTAATAAATAAATATTTATAGGAGGGTTTTAGTAATAATCTAAATTTAGAAGATGAAAATTTAAGTGAAGATGAAGATAAAACATTGTCAGATATAAAAATTGAGGTGATTTGTTTTATATTTTTTAAACTTATTTAATTTCATTTTTTATACATATTGAAATATTTATAAATATTTTAGAATAACATTTCTGCTGTATTTGGAAAGAATCTTAAAATTTGGGATATTGAGTATTATTTTGAATTTAATGAATATCCTAGAACCTCAGAAATAGGTGTAGCAACTGTTTATAATATTGATGGTTGGGATATTAGTAAAATAAAGAATATTTTCAAATTAAGGAATGTGCAATATTCATTGGGAGATCCTAGAAAAATGTCAAGTATAAAAAATCATCCTTTTTTAGGTGTCTCTTGTAAAAGAAAATTTAGAACTTGCCAAGGTATAAAAATGTGTAAATTTGCTTCAAATCAAATAATTGAGGGTATCCATACTATATACATAAATTTCATGATGCTTTAAACAAGCGATTTGATATAATTTACCCAATACTCATATTCCTTTTGAGATAATTTCATTGTCCTACTTAGAAATCCTTAGAAGAGGAAATTACAGTATAGTGGTCTCATTCCTAAACATAAGCTTTTTGAAGGAAATGAAAACAGCTTTTTCGGTTAACGAATAAGGTATTTGTAAATTAAATAAGTTTTTATTGACATAAAATATATAATATAAGCCAGTAAGGAAATGAAAAAAAAGTTGAAAATACAGTATCTTCTTGGCCTTCTGTCCACTTTGAATCTTTGAAACCATCTCTACGCTTTGCATATGTATACAATCAATTACGATATATTTGCGAAATAAAATATTTCATTTTGAGGTCTTGAAGTTCCTTGCGCCCATGATTTAGAATCAGGTGCAAATAATTCTGGTTTCGTCAATTTTGAAATGATGAAGGTAGATTGAGGTTATCCAAATTTTCTGCAAGAATTTTTCGTGGTGCTAAAAATGATTTAAAACCCATTATCCTCTCTAGTTATCTAATCAGCAGATGAAAAATTGAATCCATCGGCAAAAGAAATAAAGACAAGTTTGTAATTTTTTTAAAACGATACCAACAAGCTATTTTTATTCTACCTGGCGTGAAAAATAAAAACTATTAATGCATCTTGCATTAATCTAATCAAGAAATAATTCTAAAAAATAACGTTTCACAATTCATCCACTCGATTATTTTTGGAAAGTATTAAGCCTTTTGGCTACTTTAATTTCTCATCGATAGTTAGTGAAGTTGGTGGAGATAATAAGAAATGGAAGTAATAAGCACTGTTGTTGTTAATTTATCTGCTCGTCAACGACGAATCGAAAAAGAATGAAAGTGGTAAGCAATTTTAATTTTTTATTTTATTTCTGTTTTTTTCCGAAATGAAATTTTTTTTTAAATGGTTTATATAAGTTTAAGAAAAAAAGTTTATCCTTAATCGAAGTGAAAAATGAATATTACTAAAAAGAAATAAAAAAATCTTTTATGGATATTACTAAAAAGAAATCAATAATAATTTTGTGTTGTAAACAATTAAAAAATATTTTGCATTATTATAATATTTACGAGCACAAAGGTGAATCATCGTTTCTTTGTGAATTACTTGATTAGGATCAACCTCGCATATATTTTATAACTGCATCAGCATATTTTCCATCATGACTAATGGCTTTCTATATAATATCTATTCTTACCTTGAACTTTAATAGCTATTTCAGAAGACATTTGTTTAAAATGTCTTTTTTATATCAAGAGATTCATGGTATTATGTCGTAAGAATTTATTCCTTTTGAACGGTTCACAAAAATCACGACTGTGTGACACGTTACATTCTTAATCGGCAACGAATTGCGGTGCGTTCAATGTGTCGCACATTACTTTAAAAATAATTTTTTTTCTTACAATGTCTACAATAAAGATAAAAGTGAAATGAAAAAAATAAAAAGTATTTTCACCAAACATATAAAAGGAATAAAAGGTATGAAGTAGGAGGTTAAGCGATCCTAAGAGGCAAGAACAAACATTTATACTAGATTATGATTATATCAGTTAATTAATTTCGAATTTTTTCAAGATAGAGCCAGTTGAATTTTGATGCTCCTTCATAAACAATTATTCGTTCTTAAGTCAAATAATAATATTATAATTTAGTATTTTTTTTTTTTTTTAAAAAAATAAATAAAATAAAATTAATACTTAGATTGTTCTGCTTTTTTTTAAAAAATAAAATAAAATAAAAATAAAAATAAAAATAATTAATTAACTTTTAAAAGCATACATTAAACAAACTCTATTATCATTCTTTCTAATAGGGTCACCAACAGCATGGGATATTAATGATGGACGTAATCTTTTAAAATTTAATTCTGACAAACTTATAGTGACTTATACAGGTGAGTTTATTACATTTCATGTTGTATAA